TTCATGGTAACTGCAGACCCGGACATCGGACTGATCGAGACCAAAAACCAGACATACGTCTGGATCGTTCTAGACATTCGAAAACTGGACCGCCACTGCACATCTATGCCTAGCGGGCCCTGGCCGTCCGGATGGGTTCCAGGGACCCCTGAAACGTCAGGATGGAGGGGGGTGGGGGAAACAAAAGTTGCTCTAGAAACGAGACAACCATCGTACCCCCTTTTCTCCTCTGTAACCTTCGTCGTCCCTCCTCCAGTGTAACCTTTGTCGTCCCTTCTCCTTATCAATGGCCCTCCTTCTTCCCCTCCTCCGTATCCATTGTCCTCCTCCCATGGCTATGGCCACAGTCCTCCCTCCTACTTGTCTACACCCCTCGTCCTCCTCTCACTGGTAGGGCTGCACTCCCTCCTCCGTGCCCATTGTCCTCCTCTCAAGGTCATGGCCACATGCCTCTCTCCTACTCTTTGCCGTATCGCTTCAAGGCTGATGATGCGCAAGGTGGGAGCTGCTGCGCAGAGCTCAAAACAGCATTGCAGGCAAGAGCAGCAATGGCGAATCCTCCCTGCCCTGGTGGCCTATTGTAGGCACCAACTCGGTTCCGCCCCACCAACTGTTGGTGGGTTCTGGCATAGTCCATTGGGTCAAAAAAGGGCCGAACAATTGTGGTACCATTTTTTGGGGGGGGCCTAGGACTCAGATAAGGTCGTAGGCACCCCCTTACAAAAAAATAAAAAATCCCTCGGGGGCACTCTATCCAGACCTACGAATGCAGACAATGGACCCAGATAACCAGATCCAGTCTGTCTGGATCCCGGTCCAGATTTCCGGCCGGTTACCATGGTTTGTTTTTTATCGGCACCCAGCGGAAATCGGTATCGGGAAAAAGAGGCTCGGAAGTACGGGTGGTTGAAACACTGGCGCTGATGCTGGCTTAGGCCTGCGGCAGCATTCAAGCTAAGATGTGGGAAGGGCTGGCCTACTGGCCGTGGGGGGAGGGTCAAGCAGGGTGACCCCCGTGGCCTTAAACATGCCGCCTGTGGGAATGGTCTACGGCCACGAGGTGGCCTGGCAGCATAGTGCGAATTTTGAGTATGTGGTATTTTTTTCTCGTTCATCCTATTTGAGAAAGAAAGTGGTGAAAAAGACAGGAACTGCCTGTGGCACACTTGGTGCCAACCAGCTGTGATAGTCCGCGTGATACCTCTGATCAGTATTAGAACGGTCTTTGGCCAACACGGGTGTGTGTTAGCGTGAGTGGGTTGTGTGCGGTCTGTGGGAGAGTGTTCGCCTTAGACACTGCTGCTACTCGATGGGGGGTGGGGATGATGAGAAAGGGAGGTGCTGCTACTGGCAAAATGCTCGGCCTTTGCGTTAGCCGGAACCCCGCTGGCGGCCCTGCACCCTAAACCACGAGGGCAAGGGGCAACATGCAATATCCCCTGAACCGTGAGAGGTAGCTATGCTTGCAGGACTCCCCTCTATATAGCCTTAAGGAGTGGTGGTAGGTAGCTAGTGAAAGGCGAAAAAAGAATTTGAAAGAAACTAATGCAGGTTTTTTTGTTTTGTAAGGAGGGAAAAAAACCAGGAATGTACTGTGGGTGCTGATTGGCCGGGAAAGAAAATAATTCTAGATGGCCAAGTTAATCCTGGTGGGAGATGTATGCACATCTCTGCCTCATGCTGGAAACCTGGGAGGCCCGAAACGTTTTTTTTTTTTTTTTTTTTTTTTAAGGCCTGAAACTTGTTGGGAAGAGGAATATTGCTGACAAAAAATGTTTGGGGCCAGTTGTAGTTCGACCTCAAACAAAACCATGCTCTTTCTGGGCCCCAAAGGACCGAAAGGTGTTGGATACTGATGTTCTAGCCCATGGTTTAAGCCAGAAACAAACTACCCTTTTGAGTATGATGACAGATGAAGAGGACAAATTGCCAAAGTTTATCTTTCTTGCCCCCCTGCTGAGAGCTTTTGGACAGCTTATGCAGCAGTTTCTCCTTTGACTTCTACACGTCTTCGCTGAGTAATGAAGTCAGCCTCGTCTATCTTTCAATTACCTGTATTGCCTATTTCTCCAGGCATTTCTGTGCCCAGGCTCCCATCTTCCCCGACATACAACGCATCGGCATGGCATTCTTTCTGCGCGCGTACGAATAGGGGGAACCATTCGTGGAGTGCAGTGTGGATGCTTCAGGCGTCAAGTCCCACTTAGGGCGTATGTCCCCACTCGAACCTTTCACACTTTTGCAAGGTCTGGTGGGCAGGCTTCGTGGAGTGCAGTGTGAATGCTTCAGGCGTCAAGTCCCACTTAGGGCGTATGTCCCCACTCAAACCTTTCGCACGTTTGCAAGGTCTGGTGGGCAGGCAAACATGTGTTTGGTGGGGTGAGCTGTCACACTTGTCCCTAGATTTCTGAAAGGACGAAGTCGGGATTGAACACAGATTTGCGACTCTGGGAGGCATGCCAGTCGCACAGTGCCATGCACTGCTGATTTTCATGAATCTGTCTTTATTCGTTTTGTCAAGCACCAGTACACTTCAACCTGAGTATAGCTCATACCGGCATATGCAATAAGAGTACTTGGCTTCGGGCCTGGGCCGGTAGCCGAAGATGCAGGCTGCTTTGAAAAGGCGCATTTGCAGGCTTGTGAGACTTGGAAGGCACAGCTTTGGCAACTTAGGCTCAGCAATCGGCCGCAGAAAAAAAAAAAGTGTAGAAACGATTCTAGTCGGATGAATTTGGGCGCTCCTGTAGTGGCCCTTACGTTTCCTAAAGTCGTGGCTTGTTAATGGGCAGGCCTTCAGGAAGTACTGGTGGTTTAAACTTCAGGCTCGCGCACTGCTCTTACTGTTAGTTATTGCGCTCCCCCCGTGCCCCCTTATTAGCCTTCCCCCCCCACCTTTCCCACTTGCTCGGACTCTTTATTTCTGGCCATTGATCCCTGGAAGCTATGGCTGTAAAACCGGACTCCAGGCAAGTGGTCGGTGGATGTTTAGGCTCTTTTTCTAAAGAGACAAGTTTGGGTCGTTGTCTGTCTAGGTGCATGGCTGACAGTGAATCATGCCTCAGAGACTCTGTCTGGCTGAGCTGGACTGAATGGCTGACTGTGAATTGTGCCCTTGAGTGAGGCAGGGACTTTTCACTACAATGACAATGGGTGTGGAACAATGGCTATTTCAGGAAAATGTCATCGCCCTTGGGCTAGAGGAGTCCTCTGCAGGTGCCCAAGTGGCTACTGTGGAACTATCAGCTTACCTCTCTAGGAATATTTTGCACTGTTGGGGTGTTGTTTCTGCCTGCATATAGTTGATGGAAGTTGCTAGGCCCTCCTCTCCCCCCCCCTCCTCCCTTCTCCGCCCACTCTTCCATAACCACCACCACCTCTTTTCCTGTTTCTGAGAGAAAACAGACCGTGCGACTCCTGGCTCCTGTCCCATCTAGGAAGCGTCCAGATTTGCAGAATGGACAGGAGTAAGGTCAACAGGACATCGCTACGGCCCCTCTCAACTAAAGATGTCAGTTGTTGGACTTCTGAACCTAGACAGAGATCCATAGCAGAAGTGTGGCGGCCCCTCTTCAACGTCTGAAAGCCTGACCAAAAATGTGGCAATGGAAAAAGGCGAGTCAGATACGTGGTCTGACAAACTGTGAGGTTCATGTCGAGCGTCCTGAAAAAACTGGAGGCCAAGGAAATCCAAACACCAGAGTTGTAGGGGTTGTTTCCAAATGTTGCTTCTTCCTCCTCGTGTAGTTTTTCCACTTTCCCCAAAGGCACCCTTGCGTTTCCTCGACGCCGGAATCTGGACGTGTTCGTGGAGATGTGCGGTTGAGGAAATTCAACGTAATTTCTTCACTTCTCCACAAAAATGTCCAGATTCGGGCATTGAGGAAACTCAGTGTTGCTAGTGGGACGAGGCCCCAGGACGCAACCACGGCGTTTATATTGCCTCATTTTTTCCCTCGTCTGCCATTGGATCTAGCACTGCTGAGGGGGATGCCGAAGTCGAATGGGGCGGGTTGGGGCGGGTTTGGGAATGACGGCCCCGAACGAAGGCCCCAGATGTGGACCGAGGACTGTCCAGGTATCACGCTTGTCAAGGGGAAGGCTGGCCTACTGCCCGTGGGGCTGCCTCTGGCTGCAGGGCAATTGCAGGCAAACCTTGATGCATCAGACTCCAACGGCGTCCAGAGCTCAGTCCGAAAAGCTAGCGTGAGTAGTCGATGGGCCACCTCCCTCAGTGATGAAGCGATTGTTTCACCGCTAACTTTGTGCTATTAGGGTGCAGCATCTCTCTCAATGACGAAGCCATTTTGTTTTCAGTGGTGATCTTATTTCTATTCCACAGAATTGCAAGTCAACCATCAGATAGGCTCTTTTTCTGACCAGGTATATGCTCAAGTACATGCTCAAGGTTTTGTTTTGGTATTCGGAAAACTGCACCTGGAGAGTACTCAGGAAAGATGTCTCCACTGTGATTAACAAGCGGGCTCTTTCGCACCACATGCATGCCCCCAGCCAATACTACCGTCTTCACCCAAATAGAACGTACGGTCATTATAGCTGTATTTGACAGAATTTCCAGTCCAGATACACCCAAAATGACCCGGCGTTCTATTCGGGTGAAGACGGTAGGAGTTCCAACGGTGAGCGGAGTCTGATGTCCTTTTGGACCTGGATTTGCCGGCTTTGCGGGTCCTTTTGCATTTCCTGACCTCCTTTGTGATGGTGGTCCTGCTGCTGGTTTGTACAAGCCCTGATTGACATAGTAAAGGCCCTCTTCTGTCATTTCATAAGCGTAAGGTCCCAACGGATGTTGATGCAATATGTGATTTCTGCCCAGTGCTCTGGGATGTAAAAAAAGTGAAGAGGTTCAACCAAGAAGAAAAAGGGGGTGGTTCATTCTCCAACACCTTGCTTCTCATCAGTTTCATTTGTTTACCTCTTTCTTGATGCGATTGTGTGATGTTGGTGCCGTGTGTTACGTCTGTTCTGTGTCTCTCCAGCGACAGAGAATCCTTTCAAGCAGTTGTTGAGGGATCTTCCTGATGGCAGTGGTGGCATCTATGGAAAATACTACAGTCTGAAAGCGCTAAATGATCCACGCATTGGTAAGTCAACGCAAGCAAATGTACATATGTAGTCGTGCCCAAAATGTTTTCCTCGAGTGTTCGGCATGTGTGGATGCGTGTCCGTGCATGTGTGCATGTGTGTGTGTGTGTGTGTGTGTGTGTGTGTGTGTGTGTGGTTTAATAGAGTGCAAGGCTGTCGACATTTGTGTGGTTGAGCGCCAGGGTCCCCACACACCTGTCTTGGGCACACTGTAAAAGGGCAGGAGGCAAAGAAAGACAAACCTGCATCCAAGAACACAATTCACAAACTCTTGGATACATAACCATGTCCAAGAAGCAGTTAAAACAAAGGCCAACTGGCCTGTGATGCGGACGTTTACACAAGGTAGCCACCACGTCCACCACTACCCCTCTCCCCTGCCCCACCCCCTCCTCTTGGCCCAGGGGAATCTCATCCTCAATGAAGTCCCCCGATTCTTTCAATGATCACTCCACAAATCTGGCCTCCTGTGCCCTAGTGGCACAAGTCTGTCCACCCCGCTGTGGACCCTAGTGTCCTCTTCTGCTCTCCAAGTTCCCTGAAATGGCAGCCCATGAGAATCATACACCCAGCAACTGTGACTAGCGCGGGTGCTGGGGCAGCCTGCCAGTCAAGCACCCATCGTAGCGTGAGCGGAGAGGGAGGAAAGCAACCATGGCCAGCAGGGATGGGCTGTGTGGGAGGGTAAAATTTTGTCCTGCCTACAGGCGGGTAAAAGCTTGCTGTGGCTACAGGTGGGTTTGGTGAGGGGGGGGGTTGCGGCACAGGGTCAGCTGCATACTGGTTCGGAAATTTGAAACACGATTGTATGTGGGCTTGACCACGAAAACAAAAAAATTGTAACCGGGTACAGGTGAGTATGGGTGAAAAAAGGTTGGCTGGGACGGGCTGGGTGTGGGTGGCGAGTCTGGCGATGAGAAAAGGCCACCTCTGCACAGGCCCCCATTTCTTGTCGGCCTACAGCTCACTGGGGAGTCCCCTGCCACAGCGTCGAGTTCCCTCCTCCCCCCCCCGTTGTTTTATGGTTGTCTAGACGTCTAATGGATGCCGTGGGATGGGCGAATGGACGGAATTTGAATCTCTTGAATGGATGCAGATAAGCTGCCGTATTCCATCAAGATCCTGCTCGAGTCGGCAATTCGCAACTGCGATAATTTCCAAGTCACCCAAAAAGATGTCGAGAGCATTATCGACTGGGAAAGGACAGCACCTCAACAAGTGGAGATTCCGTTCAAACCTGCTCGTGTGATCTTGCAGGTACGTAAATTGCGCTTGACGACATACGTGAAACCTTTCTTGGCCTTTTCGAAGTACTACCTTTATAGACTTCCTGCTGCCAGTCTTTTGTGCAACATGCATGACTGCCACACACTTCTCTTCGGAATTCTCACGTTCTTTCTGTTTCTTTGCTCCGTCTGCGGCACCTGATTCCCTCACTGTGTACATTTCTACTAATTTTCTAGTGCTTTCATGCTCGGTCCTTTTTTCGTCGATCTTTTTTGTCCCTGTGAGAATAACAATATGTATTATGTAGTAATATACCCACTTGACGCCTCCCCGCTTTTTGGTGCCGAGATGCTCACGGTATATCTATCTTTGCGTACCGGTACTTTTTCTGGCATACGGCAGTAGCTGCCAGTCTGTTAAGTTGCTGTGTTCAGGCAGCCATCTTTCTGTCCTATTCTGGCCATTCCCTCTTAACGTAAAGTACTCACGCAGGCATATCTTTCTGTCCTATTCTGGCCATTCCCCCTCAACGTAAAGTACTCAAGCGTCGACTCTCAAGGACGTATGTGACTGTGATAATGACTAGATTCAGTGAAGGACATGGCATGTGGTATGGTCTGGTTGTGTAATTCCTGGTCTTGTAGCGGCAGTCTGGACCGCCTGCCTGCCTGCTTCTTCCATCTGCCCTGTACTTCCGTCAGTGCTCGCCTGCTGTGCCTCTGCACGCTTTGCCACAGTGAGATGTGATTGTCACTCTTCGTGTTGCCTCCAATGATTTCCCTGATAGCATTTTTGTGATGGAACACTCTCATTGCCATCCTTTCTCGTTCTTCTTTTTTTTTTTTTTTTTTTTTTTTTTTTTTTTTGAAAGGGCTGCGGTCTAGAGATATTGTCATTGAACTGACCTGCCCCAGTAACTCAGAATGATTTTTAATATTTTTTATTCATCTGATTGGCTGGATTCGAACTTGGGTCTGTGTTTCAATTTTCAACAGTTAACGAGTGTAACAACTGAGCTAGGCCCGTCGGGTGAGAGTGGATTTTGGTTCTTTGACAGTGTTGCATACCCCGTCGGCTGGCGGCCCTTTTACTGGTCGGCTGCCGACCAGCCGAGCAGTCGGCTGGTCGGCACCTACCGGTTGGGGGTCGTCGGCACCCCGCAAAGAAAAACCAAAAAAAAAAGAAAAAATGGGCTCCAGATGCCCTAATAACCCCACCAACACCCCCATAGCACCCCCCA